TTTTTTTTTAATTTACCATCTTAACCATTTATTTTTATTTTTATTTTTATTTTTTTGTGAGAAAGATCAGCCCTAAGCTAACATCCATGCCAATCCTCCTCTTTTTGCCAAGGAAGACTGGCCTTGAGCTAACATCTGTGCCCATCTTCCTCCACTTTATGTAGGACGCCGCCACAGCACGGCCTGAGAAGCGGTGCGTCAGTGCGCGCCTGGGATCCGAACCCCGGGCTGCCAGCAGTGGAGCGTGCGCACTTAACCGCTATGCCACGGGGCCGACCCCCATTTCCTTTTTTTTAATGCCCATACTGTCCTGTGCTAGGCACTGTGTTCTGTTGGGGTGTGAAGATAAACAAGCAAAGTGCCTGCCTTTAAGAAGTTCAGTCTCCTGGGGAAACAGACATCTAAGACAGTGATTATATTAGGCTGGGATGAGGACCATAATAGCTTTTATCTACTTCCCATTCATCCAAGGAATGTGTCAGCAGAAATGTTGTTCCTGTGGGAGAAAGATAACTATTCCCAGAGTGGTGTTCTGGAGCTAGTGCTCCATTCCATGATTTGCCAGCCTGACCCTCATGGACCTTTCTTCCCATCCCAGAATGGCTTGCATCCATCTAGAGGTGAAGAGTGTAACTCACAGGATGTCATTCAGTACAATGAGGATTGGCCAGGCACAGAGGACAAGGAGGAAGGCTTTGAGAACTAGGCTAAGGAATGGAGATTTCATTCTACAGGTCAACTATATTAAGTAGGACATGGGTTTAGCCGTGAATACCAGAGATGCAAATTAACAGTGGCTTAATCAAGACAGGAGTTTATTTCTTTTTTATGTAACAGTCAGGAGATAGCTGGCCCAGGGCTGGAATGTTGGCTCAGATCCATGAGGTCATCTAGGGACCTAGACTCATGTTGGCTGTTGCTCCATCATCCCCTCTAGGATATGTAGGCTGATGCTTTCATCTGCATGATTCAGGATGGCTCGTCACCACATCCACATTCCAGGCAGCAGTATGGAGGAAAGGGCAGCATACTCCTTTTCCTTAAGACACATTTTGAAACTACACACCTCACTTCTGTCCACATCCTATTGGCCAGAATTTACTCATGTAACCATACCTATATGCAAGAAAGTATGGAGAAACATTGACATCATTTGGAAGGCCATGTGCCAAGCTAAAAATAGGAGGTTCTATAAGGAAGGAAGAGTGGATACTGAGGGTCAACTTGCAGCCCCTTATATACTAGCTTTTCTTAAAAAAAAAAAAAATGCCTTCTGTAAAATTGGTCTCTTAAGATGCTCCTTAAAATGGGTTTATTGACCAAATAATTGTGGAAACATTAAACATTGATCTTACAGAGATTCACAATGCAGAGTAACATATTAAAGGCTCTGAGAAGTTCTGCAGTAAAGGAATGTGTCCATCGTTATTTAACTTAAACAAAGGTTGTTTGGCCAAAATCCCATTTTAAAATTTTGTTTTAAACGTGAATGGAACTTGAGGGTATTATGTTAAGTGAGATAAGCCAGACAGAGAAAGACAAACACTGTATGATTTCACTCATATGTGGAAGATAAACAAATACATGGACAAAGAGAACAGGTTAGTGGTCCCCAGAGGGGAAGGGGGTTGGGGGGTGGGCATAAGGGGTAAAGGAGAACATACATATGGTGACTGACAAATAATAATGTACAACTGTAATTTCACGTTATAAACTTATTATGACACCAATAAAAATTTTAAAAAATTAAAAAAATTTTTGTTTTATTTTTTGTAGAATCTCAACTAACATGAGCTTTGGGAAATACTGCTTTGTGAATTATTGAAGGTTCCTTAGTTTACAGTAATGCAAACATTTTTACAGCAGTTCTACTCCTAGGGAAATGTGTCCATATTGTCAGTTAAGGTTTAATCAAAGAAACAGAACCACTAAGAGATGCATAAAGAGATTTATTGCAGGAATTTGATCCTATGCAGTTGTGGGAGCTGGTTAGACTATCTGCGTAAGGCTGTTGTCTTTGTGTCTGATGATGTAGCTTGCAGTCCTCTGGGCGGGCAGTTGTGGAAGAAGAGAGTAAGGCTGGGAAGAAGGAGAACAAGCTGGAACTCATGAGGGTGGGTGGGAACCCGAGCCAGTCTGTCACTGCCTCCAGCTTTAATGATGTGGGTGTCCTGATGAAGCTGATGCCCTTCATTATGGAACTAAGCACACACCTGGCTTAGGAGTCAGAGAAGCTGCAAGAGGATCCAGGGAAAAGTGAATCCAGCATCAGCAGGCCTGGCTGCTACACGCCCACCCCAACCGCAGTGTGGTGAGCCTGTAGATGAGCAACAACACATATCAGCTGCTTGATGCTCCTGCATCGACCTTCTGATGTAAACATGATGTGGCTTCTGCCTCACTTCTGCCTTGCCAGTCTCAACTGGAAACGTCCAAGGAAGAGAATTCTGAGAAACATAGTCCGGCCTAGCCAGGTGGACTCATTGCAGAGCCACCACACGTGTGTTCACAGATGACAAGTAAGGATTCTTTACAGCATTGCTGTTTGTAATGGCTTCAAGTTGGAAATAAGCTAAATGTGCATCAACAGTTAAGTAGATAAATAGTGTTACATGCACAGAATGGAGGTAATAAATGAATAAACTATTGCTACGTGAATCAACATGGATGAATCTTGCAAAAAATATTGAGCAAAAGAAGACAGACAAAAGAATGCAAACTATGATTGCATTTATGCAAATTTCAAAAAAAAAAATAGCAAAGCTAATTTATGATATTAGAAGTCAGGATAATAGTTACCTTTGAGAGAGAGTTAATGCCTTGGAGGGGGCACAAGAGAGGCTTCTGACGTGCAGATAACGTTCTGCTTCTTATCTGGGTGCTGGTTACAGAGGTATGTGCACATTGTGGAAATTCATGATTTGTGCACTTTTCTATACTTCAGTACAAAGATTAGATGAGTTATAACAGGTTATTGAGTAACCATGGACAGGCTAAGTTGAAGGACAGAAACTACACTAGACCTAGTGGACCCAGTATGGAGTGGCACGGGGAGAAACAAGGTAGCCGATACTGGAAGAGGCAGGTTAGGTGAGTGAGCAGAGGAGAGTCTACCTGAGGGTCATGGCAGCTCCATCCCAGGCTGTCCCTTTCCTGGGTTGGCCATCTGTTGCCATCATGAAGGGTTAAGACTGTGTACACAGAGGCCCAAGGAGGGCTGCTGACTTCTGGGGCTCATCAGCAGAGTCACCTGTGTGGCATGAGAAGGGATTGTGATTCTGTAGGTCTGGGGTAGATACCTGGCACCTTTTTAAGTTTCCTAGGTGTCCTGATGCGCTCCACAGGACGTGGATGTGGACATGGATGGTAGGGGAAAGACAGGAACGTGGGGGAACGTGGTGCTCAGAACCTTACCCTTGTCCCCAAGCTCAGCCCTCTTTCAGAGTGCAGCCTGCTTTTTCTTGTCTTCCGTCCTGACAGACACAACATTGTTCTAGCCTTTCTATTTGTGAAATCTTAATTCCCTTTTTCATGCTTTCTGTTTTAGCTCACTCATTAGTTGGTTGGATTCATGATTCCTCTCTTTTTTTGTGTGTGTGAGGAAGATCAGCCCTGTGCTAACATCTGCTAATCCTCTTTTTTTTTTTTTTTTTTGCTGAGGAAGACTGGCCCTGGGCTAACATCCGTGCCCATCTTCCTCCACTTTGTATGGGACACCGCCACAGCATGGCTTGCCAAGTGGTGCATCGGTGCGTGCCCGGGATCTGAACTGGTGAACCCTGGGCCACCGCAGCGGAGTGTGTGCACTTAACCACTTGCGCCACTGGGCTGGCCCCTTCATGATTCCTCTCTTGACAGCAAACTATTTTAAAGTACTTTAGGCTATTGAATATGGGTTTGGAGAACCCTCTGATGTCTGTTGTGTTTGGAGCCTGGATTGTGTGTAGGTAGACTGAATATGCAATACCTCTGATGAACAGTTCTCTGAAAGCGTTGTCTGGGATTATTGATGGTAGTTCTAATGCCTAGGAAATTAGGATTTGGAGTGTTGATAAGTTTGTTCTAAAACAAAATCTCACAAGTAGTTAGTATTTTTAGTTTGAAAAATTTTAAATATGCATGAAAATAGGGAATATTCTATAGTGTTCTCTGAAGTCTCCAGGTAACACTGCTATTGTGCGATTCTCTGATGCCCTCAGACTGATGGGTGCTTGTCACTGCTCCGTTCTAAAATCCCACGTTTTCTCTGTCAAAGCATTTACCCCCCCGGAACTGTAATCGCTGGTCTCCTTGTTTATCTGTTTATCTCTGAACGCTAATCTCTTTGAGGTCAGGGACTATGTCTTCTTCTGCAAGCAAAGAACTTATGGTTGAACCTTGGAAAAGGGCCTCATTTGGGGAGAGAGGAGAAAGAGTTGGGGAAGGAAGCAGAGCTACATTGATCAGAGAAGTAGGAAAAGAACCAAAATAGCATTTTATTTTGGGAATCAAGGAAAAAGGAGAAATTTTTGAGGAATTATCAAATGCCACAAAGAGGTCAATGAGAATGCAAATTAAAATAAGAAGAGTTTGAGTTTGTCAAAGTCATTAGTGGCTGTAAAAAAGATGAGATGGAAGCAAGATCTCAAGGGCTTGAGGAGAGACTACGAGATGAGGAAATGGGGGTAGAGGGTAAGAAACAAGCTCTTAGAAGTGAGGCCGTGACAGGAAGGAGATTTGGAAATGGCTGAGCAAAATGGCAGAACCAAAGATGACGTCCTGTCTAGAAAGGAGAACCGTGTTCACCTGAAGGCAGAGATGGGAGGTTCCCTTAATGCCCCTCTGGAGTGACTCAGGGATTCTGCCAGCACGTGGGTGATGGATGAGATGAGCCACTTGAGCATCTTGGTGGTGGAGTCAGCGGTACATTTAGTGAGAAACCACTTGTGCTCAGCCCTGCACTAAGCCCTTTTCTTTGAATGATTTGGTTCCTTTTCACTTGTATCCTCCGTTTCCCACAGGGAACATGGTGGAATGGTGCTTACCTCAAGATATAGACCTTGAAGGTGTGGAATTCAAGTCTATGGCCAGTGGGTCCCATAAAATTCAGTCTGATTTCATGTAAGTACTTCTGGATGTAAGTCTTCTCTGTATGATTTCCTCCCCCTTCAGACTTCCCCCAGAGCATAAGGGCTCTTATAAGGGTGTCTTCAGGGTGTGTAAATGCCCTTAAAATATATGTGTAGATTTGTGCGTTTATGTCAATTTTCTAGCAAGAAAGTCCCTAGCTTTTATTAGGTTCTCTGTGGTTTTCATGACCCAAAAAAGTTAAGAACTCCTACCATCGAGGTTCTTCTCTTTCTAAGAAATTATTGGACCTCACTAGAGCTTTGGCTTCAATGAAAGAATGGAGTTTCAGTTCAGTTTGGATTAACTTAAGACGCTTATGGGCTCAACCTTGAAATTCTAACTTGAAGTCAGGCCAGTTTATAGTCCTGCGTAATTAAGCTTCTTGTGAGGAGGAGCAAACGGAATGAACGCAAAGGTCATGAGGTAATCTTCTCATTGGGCTGGAACCATGACTGATACAAGTGTGGGAAAGGGGAAGGAAGTAAAATGACAGCTCTGGTCATATGCTCTATTAAAAATATCAGAGACTCAGGAAGTGAGGAAAGAACCAACGCTGTTTATGCTAATAAAACAGAGTATTGGTTCTGGGCAGCCCTGAGGATGAATCTTTGTTTTGGGTCTGCCATCAAGTCATTAGTTGTTACGCAGGAGAGAAGGGGTGGATCCATGGTCATGGGTGATTGAGCAGCAGGCTTGTCGCAGATCAAGTCCTGGCTCCAGCTGGGTGACCCTGGGCGGGTTCCATAATCTCTGAGCCTTGGTGGTCTCCTCTGTGAGCTTGGGTGGTTGAGGCTAATTGTTCTCCTGAGATTCTGAAAGTTATTTTCAGGCTGAGCTTTCTCATCTGGAGCCCTGGACACAGTTACTGCTTTTGTTTGGGACTGCATCTCAAAGAAGAAAGCAGAGCAAGACAAAATTTCTCTCTCTGACTTCGAGCCACACTACACATTTGATCTATTGTAGCTATTTCCGAAAGGGGCCCTTCTTCGGCCTGGCCTGCTTTGCCAACATGCCCGTGGAAAGCGAGCTGGAGCGGGGTGCACGTATGAAGTCTGTGGGCATCCTCTCTCCATCCTACACCCTGCTGTACCGCTACATGCACTTCTTGGAGAACCAAGTTCGGTACGTGGCCCACATACACGTGCGGGGAGGCAGCTGGTGTGTATGTGATGAGCCCTCAGAGACAGAGGTTGTGTGCCAAAACAACAGATGCCTTTCCAAGAACATCCGTGGCCGTGTTTCATGCCTCAGGTGGTGGTCTTTGTGTTTCAACCCAAGTCCTGCATAATGATTCTTTATACTGTAATGGAAGCTGGGGTAGATTTTGCTTTCAGTTTATATCATCATCAATTTTGTTTTATTAAATAATTTGTTGACATGTACGTGATCTTTGTTTACCCTAAAGCTGCAATAATTACCTCCTTGCCCCAGGTAGGTAAAAAGCTAAATTTTTTAACCTAATTGCTTATTATTTGGGGTAATAGGAAGGGGATTTTTAACAGAGGCAGCAAAACTGTGAGTTATTTCGTGTTTTTTCATTATACAAGTAATTTAATTTCATTTCAGATTTTGAGGGAGAAATCTATCCCTAATCCCTGAAGCACTGTTAAAATTTTAGCACATCTGCCTGTTTTCTGGTATGCGTGTGTGTGTACTTTAAAAAATATATACTTGGCATCATACTGTATACACAGTTTTATAGACTCTACTTTTAAAATTTATCATTATTTTGATTTTTTTATATAACATAATCTTTCTTGACCATCACCTTTGAAAGAACGTGAAGTTTATTGTTTGTGGGAAAAAATTTTTATTATTTTAAAATTTATAATCAAGTAAAAATTAATTTTTAAAAATACTCCCAAATCTTAACCCTTAGAGAGATATCCTTTGTCAATATTCAGTGAATGCCATTCTAATATAGAAATACTTTTACAAAAATAAGATTAATATTTTATGAAGATTTAATTTTATCAAATAAGCTAGTTTGAAATATATTAAATTTCATTTTACTTGTATATATCAGAGGAAAGGAGTAAATAAAACTGAAGGAATTGTCAAACTTTAAGTGAATATTTTTTCACTATAAGGTATATTATTTCTTGAAATATTCCCCCACAGTTAAGAAAAAAGGTTATGAAAAACATGAAAATAGGGTGTCATTCTTATTTTATCGAGAAATAACATATATACAGCAGGGTGCACAAATCTTTGTATAGGTGTCATTGGTCTTGTTGTTGTTGTTTTTGGTGAAGAAGATGAGCCCTGAGCTAACATCTATTGCCAATCCTCCTCTTTTTGCTGAGGAAGATTGGCCCTGGGCTAACATCCATGCCCATCTTCTTCTACTTGATATGGGATGCCTGCCACAGCATGGCTTGATAAGCAGTGCATAGGTCCGCGCCTGGGATCCAAACCTGTGAACCTCGGGCTGCTGTAGTGGAGCACGCGAACTTAACCACTACTCCACTGGGCTGGCCCCTCATTGGTGTTTTTAGGATGTATTTCAACTGTAGACAGAGTCTGTTCTTATACTTCTTCCCAGCACCTCTCCTGTCTTCATATCTCAATTATTAAATATTGCTAGATTTTTTACATTTAGTTCTGTAATTATAATCCCACTGTTCTTAAGTCTCAGTTATATGTTTATGACCACATCCCGGGCTTAACTGTGGCTTGCTGCATTCCTGAATTCCTGATTTGATTTATTTCTTGGTTGGTTGGATTTTGCCATCAAGCCCTTTTTTTGCCCCCCATGAAAGGATCACGCGTGCTGCCTTCCCTGAAATTTTGCGTGCTTGATAATGTGGGTCTGTTACCTTTACTCTTGGCTGGGTATAAACCTCTTGACTCTTTCTTCCTCTCAGGATGCTGTAAATATTGCTCTGCTGTCTTCTGATACTGGTTGTTTCCGGGAAGTCTCTTCTGTCTAGATCCCTATAGATTCTTTCTTTATCTGTGATGTTTCTAAACTTTTATTTTCTGGGATAGTTTGTCCCTTTTGATCTATAGATATGTCTTTTATTTTTAAATCAAGAACTTTTCCTTCTGTAATAAAATATTCAACTTTTCTATTCTATCTTTTCCCTTCTTCAGGAGTACCAGTTATATATATGTTTTCTCTCCATTGTCCTTCATGTTTATCATTTTGATGAGTATTTTAATAGCTCTTTAATGCTACAGCTGTCCCATAAGCTTACTTGATTATTCCCTATGGTTGAGCATTTAGCATGGTTCTAATTTCTTTTTTTAACTGCTCCTCTACATTTTGGAGCTGTGGCGAACACCTTCATGAATATATCTTTTTCTGTATTTGAAATATTTCCTCAGTTTTGTGTCTTAGAAGTAATATTATGGAGTTAAAAAAAGCAAAAAAGGACGTTTTTATTGGGATCCTGTTACTTTTTAAAAATTATTCCTTTTGAAAAAATTAGTTTCCCAAGTAGGCAATACATTCTCATGGTTCAAAAGCCAAAAATCGTAAGGAGGTTTTATATTAGTTAGGGTTATGACTAAGTGGCAATAGCAGACGCCCCAAATTCAGTGGCTCAAATAAGATAGAAGGCTCTCTCTCTCGTGTGTAACAGTCTGGAATAGACAGGTGATCAAGGTGGGTGGCCTGCTGTTTCATGCAATCGTTCAGGGACCCACGCTTCTTCTCTCTCATTGTTCCACCAAATCCTGAGAGTGTTTTCTTTTTACTTCTTTTTTTTTTTTTTTTTAA